ATTGAGGAAGGGGGAGGGAGAGGAATCGCGAGCGGGGAAGACCAGAGTGTGTGAGAGATTCAGGGTGAGCTGGGAGAAAAGGCAGGGGCCTGAGGATTCCGGGGAGAGCACTGCCCAGTTTGGGGAAGGGAAAATGAGGTGGTCCGGAAATTTGAGGAGCTGGGAAACCACCTTCTTGTCTCCTCAGAGGGTGGGTGCTGTCGCCTAACTGGTCCCCAACGGCGGCGGAGCACAGTCAAGACGCAGGGGCACTGGCCTCTCCGCGGTACAGGGCGGACAACCAGCGGGCCGGCTCTACAGCGCCGGAGCCCCCGCTGCCGCCGCCGCCGCCGCCAGCAGCCGCTGCCGCTGCCTCGGCCAAACCATCCTTCAGACACCCGCGCCTCCGCCTCACAACATGTCGGCCGCGGCCGCTGCTGGAACGGCGGCGGCCGCCTGGGAGCGAATAAGGACCGAACTAGGCACAGTGAGAGTCGACGTGCCCGTCGCCGTGACCGTTCAGCCCGAACGCAGACCGTTGAAGTCGAAGCGGCGGCAACGGTGGTCCCTCCAGAGCCAGGGAAGGTTTGCTGGAAGCTGCTCCCGACACGCTTTGCGCGACCGGAAGCCTCGCCTCCCCGTCTTCCCCCACCGAGCGACTTCCGGGAGTCCCGCCACCGCCCTGCCCCCACCCACGCCGGCGGGAGCCGCCCGTCTTAGCTGTCAGTAGCTTCCGCTTGCTAGCTGTCGCGGCTCACGCCTGGGGATTCTTTCCCTTCTTAGGGGCACTAGCCGGCGATGCGCGCGCCTCCCGGTAGTGGGGACCCCCCCCCCAAGCACGCGCTTTTCTGAGACTTGGGCGCCAGACCGGGGAAGGGAGGGGCTGGGTGTAAGGGCGAAGATAGTTCTCGTCTATACTCTCCCTCAACCGAGGCCACGAAACCCTCTCCTAGACGGTTTAGGAACAAAGGAGCGCTGGATATTGTTAAAAGAACTCTCGTTTCTATTCTTTTAGGAACCCGAATTGGGGTTGAAAGTGAGAGGAACCGGGCCACGGCTGGAGAGTGGGAGGTGGGGAAAAGCAGAACCCTAATTGCCTGTGCCCCCTCGTCTGGAGAGAAAGCTTTTGAAGATACGTAATTGACGTTATTTGGATCAAAGCTGTAGTCCTCTACCCCTTTTCTCGTTTATGGGAAGTGCAATGTTCAGAGAAGTGATTTGCTCGGTCACTACAAATGGCTAAACTGGAAACTAGAGGTCACATCCAGCGTAGGAGAAATGCATTGCGTACCATGAGCCACGTCACAAGGTTCCAATTTGGCCATTTTTCATGGTGTGTTGCATTTTGGCTTCTGGAGGGAAAAAAAGTGTTAGAGCATCCTAAGCAACTTGATATTTGCTCCTTCCCAGAGTGACTAGGAATAGCAACGAATGTCAAGTTCCTCACAGAAGTTTCATTATTTTTAAGAAACTTAAGTTTGTCATAAGTGCCATGTGGAAGAAGAGGCTACAATATAAATAGTGGGGTGTTGGAATTTCTGAAAAGTAAATGAAATACAGTTTAAATCCGCTTTGGCACATTTGTCCATCAGATTCAATTGCTCTTAGTAACTTCGCTTGTTTGAAATGTTTTCTTTTTTATTTTGTTTTGTTTTGTTTTTGAGACAATCTCTGTTGCCCTGGATAGAGTGCTATAGCATTGTGGTAACTCACAGCTACCTCAAACTTTTGGGCTGAAGCGATCCTCCTACGCCAGCCTCCGAGTAGCTGGGAGAACAGGCGCCAGCCAGCACTCCTGGCTGGTTTATCCTAGCGCTCTGCGAGAACGAGGCAGGTGGATCGCTTTAGCACAGGAATTGGAGACCAGCGTGAGTACGAGCGAGACCCCCGTCTCTACTAAAAATACAAAAACTAGCCAGCTACTGGGGAACCTGAGGCAAGAGGATCTTTTGAGCCCAGGAGTTTTGAGGTTGCTGTGACCTGTGACCCCAAAACACTAACCTGGGCAACAGAGTAAGACTCTGTCTCAAACACACACACAAAAAAACAAACTCTACAGTTTAAACCCCTAAATGTGTGGCTCTCAAGGAGACCATACAGTTTATTTATTACACTGTTTTTTCATTTAGCATTTTCTCCAGGACTCGGCTCATTCTTTAGTTTCTAAAGTGTGGACACACAGTTTTCAGTGCTACTAAGTCTAATCAAAATTTCTTTGATTAAAAAGAGTATTGAAATTTTTTCTTCAAAAAAGGAATTGAACTGTTGGCTCAGATGTATCATCTTTCTGAAATGTTTGTCGTAAATGTTTTAACGATTTATTGCATTGGTTTAAATTGGTTTACGGTTTATTGTTTTAAAGATTTATTGTATTTTCTAAATTTATCTTGGCCTTAGCAAGTTTGTCAATCTGAAAAAGCTAGCTGGAGAAAAAATGCCCCCAGAGTTATCACAGTGTCACTGACCCATATCTTGTCCCTCCTGAAAAATAGTGATAACAATTTTGCTTTTTGGGATAACATGCTTTATAGACAGACGCTAAATAGGTCAGTAGGGCACATATGTTGTTATTCCAGTAATAGTTTATTACTATATGTTTCTGTGGTAGCATAAATAGCATGAAATGTATAGTAAAGAAACGTAGGTTCCAGTCCCATCTTTTTGTCCCTTTCCAAGCCTCATTTTAGTCAATTAAGAGATGGAAATATTCAAAGATAGGAGAGATTGTGTGGAAGCACCTTTTTTATTATGGAGCATTATATGATGTTAGTGTTTATAGGTGTCTTTATCAGGTCTGGGCAGTCTTCGACTAGTAACAAACCCTCTTGAGCTCAAGTGATCCACTGGCTTCGCCAGTGCTGGGATTACAGACATGAGCCACTGTGCCTGGCCATAGTTAAACTTTTGAGAAAAATAATAACATCTCTCAGTAAGGTTTTAGAGAGTGTTATATATGAAAATTTTTTTTTCATGTTGTCCCCAAATTCATGATATGACAAGAAACATAATAGATCTGTGGGTTAATTTTCTTATGAGTGAGTTAGGCTAACACTCTAGTAGTTACGTTAAAATGTGTTAATTTATTGACATCCAGGTTTTAGCTAAAATTACTGATAATTATAGATCTATAATATAGGGCGTCCCAAAGGTCATCCATAAAGTTGTCATATATAAGGAAAATGTACCTTCATTTACAAAATATTCATCACAAAATTTTATAAAATATTCTGTTTGCCACCTCTTTGCAAAATTTTGTGATGAATGTTTTGTAAATAAACGTACATTTAACTACAGTTTTCCAACTTTATGAGTGATTATACTTGTAATTTGAAGCTTAATGTTTAAAAAAGCAAACAATACTCTCCACTGTGTTTATTTGTCCTTGCTGACACACCAGTTGCAATTCAGTGACAATTGGTTTCAAAAAGAAAACCTATTAGCCTGTGCTAAGTATTATTTCCTTTAACCTTCAAAGCACTCTTGTTTGATAGGTAGTTTTAATCTCCATTTTACAGGTAAAGGAAGCTTGGAAAAGTTACCAAAAGTCAGTAAAGCAGTCAGTATGTGCTAGATTATACTGCAATAACAAATAATCTCCAAATTTCAAAATGTTTCTTGGTTGTGCTATGGGTTTATTATGGTCAATAAGAGGTCTTCACACATAGGAATCCAGAATACATTAGATAATCTGTCATAGGATTCATTTTTTAAGGAGTAATACAGGAGGGAAAGAGAGAGAGAAAGGAGAAAGTATTTGTGTTTAAAGCAATAACATTCAGTTGTGGAGACCGAAATTGTTTTGGAAACAGGAGGTGGCTCTAATTGAATAAAGCATCCATGTTGTGTAGTGGTGAAAGGGAAATGAGAAAGCCAAAGAAAGTCATGAAGTAATAGAAGCCAAGAAATAGGAGCAAGAAGTCAGTTGTACTAAAGGCAACTGAAGCAAGTGGAGAAGCTGTCACCTTTAAGGATAGGGCCACAGTAACCAGACAGCTCAACAAAATAACTGTGTTGCTACAGTGTTGGTGTGTTTTGTTTTTAAAGGAGGTAGTAGGCCTCATGAAACAGTTTTCCTATGCTTTTTACTTCCCGTGGATCTTCATAATGCTCTTCTAAGAATCCTATTTTTGTTCTTCTCAACTTGAAAAAGTCTGGCTCTTGCATGAGCCTTAGTCTCATCTCTGGGTTTCCACTTAACTACCTGTATGTAACCTTACGCAGGACATTTAATCTATGTCTTGATTTTTCTCATCAATAAAGTAGGATACCTGATTCAAAGGCAGTTTAAAGATTAGATGACAGACATAATGTATACAAAGTATTTAGCCCAGAACTTAAATGCTCAATAAATGATAGTAGTTATTAGAAATAATCATCATTACACTTATGATTATTGCCGGGAATGGAATACTGGAACTAAAAAGAAAGATGAATCCAAGAACTGTTTCACAGAAAGAGTTAGAAGAACCTGATAGTTTGGCTCTTAGATAGTCAAGGAAACAGATTAGTCAGATACAATAACAAGAGTTTTAGCTTCAGAATAGGTTAGGGTAGTGCCACTGTCAAAAACAGTAAAGTTAAAAGGGAGCAGTTAAGAGAAGATGGGTTTGCTTTTGCATATGTTTGGGTCTGGGACAACAGAAGGCATTTATGGAAGTGACGTAGACAGTGGAAAGAGATGATTGCTACATTCATTCAAAAACTGAGCATGACGCAGGAGAAATAAAGACGATCACAACACCCACTGAGTTCTCAAGGACCCTATAATGATGGGAGAAGCAGAACATAAACCAGGCTGAAGTCAATACTATGATAAACATACAAGCTCAGAACATGCAGAGGAAGGAGTAATTAATATACCTATCATAAAGTACAAAGGGCTTTATGGAAGATTCAACATTTTAACTGAGCTTGGAAGATTTAGTACAATTTTGATCAGAAAGAGCATGCTGTTGAAGAGGAAATGCAAAAGTATATTGGACGGCTTGGGAAAAT